TTCCAACAGAATTTCAGGGTTGACTGGGAGTTGATCGTTCTCACAGTCATGGTCCTCCAGCTCAGGGCACTGAGACCCCCTTGATCCATCATCTGTGTTGAAGACAGAGGCAAAGAAAGTGTTAAACGCCTTGGCTTTATCTCTGTCCCTGTTTGTGAGGTGACCATCCTCATCCTGTAAATGGGCCAATGATAGTTCTGTACTGCCTATTGCCATTAATATATTTGAAAAAACTCTTTATTTCCCCCCCCACTTCTGGCAGCTTCAACTCCAGCTGAGCTTTGGCCACAGGCCACACAAATTTCTTCCCTACAGTGGTAAGCAGCATCTCTGTATTCTTCCCATGTCACTTGACCTTGCTTCCACTGGGCATACACCTTCCTTTTTTGTCTTATTTCCAAGAGAAGATTCCTGTTCGGTGCATTTTATGCATATGTGTGCCTAGATTTTCATGGTTAACAGACAAACTTCAGAGAGACATTAACATTCTTCAAGGTTACATTCATAAGACAAATTTTAAAACTATATTCTATAGTGATCTCCACACAGCACAGCAAATTCTGTATAAGGATGGTAGAATGGTGCTGTTATCCTCAGAATTTGAATGCTCCCACTTCTTTTAAGCAAGGTAAGTGCTAACATCAAATTAATTAGATTATTTATGTCTGTCAGGTAGGCAGTGTACATGTCAGTGGCATTTGTTCTTGTAACAGTAGCTTTTGTGTATACCGATAGTACACAGATACCCTGCAAATGCAAACTTACCAAGAATTAAAAACAACTGCAGTTAAAAATTCCCTCAGTAAGGATTATTCAGCTGGAACATGTTTCACTTCAGAGGGCTATTTGGTATTTACTACAGAGCACATAAAAGCGATCCAATTGTAGTAAAGATTCATAAGCCAACCAAAGGTTTCAAATTGCATAATTGCTTAAAATCCCTTTAAAAAGGATTTTATTTTCCAGAATCCTGCTTTGAAAGTGAAATGTTATTCCAACAGGGATGAGATATCTATTTATAACCAAATGTTTGTGTGTAGTGGTCAAATGCAAAAAAAGAGGAATTGAATGTTTATTTTAGCCTTGATTTTCTTCCAATACCTTGTGTAATTTGTCCTGAAATTCTAATTATATCCCCCTATATAAACACTGCAAATATGAAAACTGAAAGACTATTTGCTACAGCTTTTTTCCTCCTTTTTTCCAAAGTAAAGAGATGCCTGTGGTCAAATTACTTAATGAAAAGAATTCAGTGTGTCAGTGATCATTCCAACAAAGAAAACATGTCCATTTACAGTATTGTTTAACTATTTCTATGTTGGTGACCACATTAAATGGGTATTTGAATGGAAATATGCCAGATGAATAAAAACAGCCTTCATGGGTGCCAAACATTAGCTATTTCTACAAAATTAGCTAAAAGTTTGCAAAATTACACACACCTATTACAAGTGCTGGCCTCTTAGGCAACTCAGAAGTCTATTGCTGATGTGATTTTAAGAAAGCAATGCCAATAAAATACACCAGGAGTTATTACCAGCCCATTATGTCATCATCAAAGCTTATGTTGAACCACAGCAATATATATGCATTATAGCTCAGGAACTGTGGCACAGCAGGAGCATGAAAATGGGTATCTATTTATGAAAGAAATCTACACTTTATGCTGAAAAGTAATGTTAGCTGGACAAAACCCATAATAACCAGAAGCTGTGCAATTCAACAGCCTTTTTGTAGTTGCAGAATAAAATTGAATAAAAGTTAATTTTAGGAAGTCAGCCACTGCAGACCTCAATTAAAGGAAGGTGCCTGGGATTTGCAGTAATGAATCGGAACTCTGATTCTTCTGGTTGCCAACAGTGGGCTGAACTGAAGGCCTCTGAGAAAGGAGCAACAAAGTTTTTAATGAATAGCAGTTGGCTGAAAAATCTTGGCCTAAGTTCTAAACCATGAGGCTTCTATCCCTCATGATCCTTCCTTATCATCCATTAAAACTATGTGTAACTTCATTATCCTTATTTAAAAACCCCTCTATTTAAATTCTTGATTTAAAACCTAGCACAATGGTAGTTTGTCATAGGAAATTCCACTGGCTAAATACAGATGCCACAAAGAAACATGCACATTGTAAATACAATCACTTGGCTTTGAGTTTGCAAACTTACTGGCACCCCTAGAGTGCTACACAAAGATGGTTATGTTATCCCAGACCACATTTTTGTATTTTCTTTGCAAAATAATAGTATTCTTTGTAAAAAATCACCTACATTATTTTCTTCAGCTTGTGTTTTAATATGTATTTTTATATATACTGAATGCAACCAAATTGGAGATTAGCTTGTCACAAAAAAACCCCACAAAAAACCCCATAAGCAGCTCTTACCTCTATCAATTCAAACAGCCACAGATAAGCCAGAAATGGTCCACAGTCCAGGAAATACCAGATTAAAAACCTTTCTACAAACATATGGCAAGGTAGGGAAACAAAATTGCTAGAGGGAGAGAGTTCCACAGCTAGGGTATGTCAAATACCCATCCTCCATTCAACTCACGCTTCCCTCTCCACATTTATACCTCACTGCTCCTCTCCATATGCCTGCACCAGAAGTACCCCAGCTCTCTTGAAAATATCAGGTTAAAACATCTGATCAGTGGAGTAGCTATTGTGTGAGGTTTTCCTCTTTTTTTTTTTTTTTTTTTTTCTCAAGTAAGTTAACAGTTGCATTTTAGACTTGTTCATGTTTATTTCAGAGGTCAGAAAACTTACCTGTTTCCCTCAATGTTTAAGATTTCCCATCTTACCACAGCCACAACCTGTTTCCCCGACTTGGATGCAGTTCTCTAACTCATACAAATCCATAGGAGTAGATAGGACCCATCTGAGAGTATTTGGAGAGCTGGCTGGCATCATCATAAGGTTGCTGTTTACTGTCTTTGAAAGGTTGTGAAGCCTGGAGAGGTTCCCCAATCATTTCAGCAAGAAGGACAACACAGGTAACTACATGGAGGTCACTCTTTCTAGGTCTCTTGGAAACCCTCTAACCCAATACATCTTCGATTTCCATCTAACTCTGTAGCCTCCTTAAGAAATGAGTATCACCTCCCCACACAAGCTCCTAAAACTACCAAACTTTATCCTTCTTCTTACCTGCAACACCATTTTGAGAATGTTTGGCCTATCCACCCCTAATAATTCCAAAATGTTACATTTCTATCTGGAGTCGAGGCCCTTGAGATGCTACTGTTTGTGAGTGACCAAAATTACAGGAATTCAAAGAAAAAACCACTAAAATTGAGACATAAAAATTTGACATCAAGACAATGCTGGAGATAAGGAAAGCTAAGTTTTGAGTTTTCTGTTTCATGGTACAGATGAATTTACTGTTGTATTGTTTACCTTGGATGTGCCTTTTCCTCTTTATTACTTTCATATAACAAAAGTGATTTTCTTTTCTCTGGACAATTAATTTCACTTTAATGTAACTGAGAATTATATTGGTATAATTGAAGGAGCTGGAGCTACAACAGAGTTGTAGCGCTAACAGCTCCAACTAACTTCATACATTCAAAAATACATTCCTTCAAAACCCTCCAAATTCTAATGGTAAACAAAGCGTTACAACACTAAATGCAGCAGTTTGTTTATATATCAGTTATTCTCAAAGAAATTATTTTTCTTTGGATATGTGCACAACCTGCTGCTCTTTCAATCTTCTGGGCACTGAAAACACAACATTTTCACCAAAATATCCACCTGAGTGCATCCTGAGAAATAGAAGGCCTCTCACCCCAAGCAGTGCCTGTTTCTTTTCTCCCATACAACACCCACTGGCCACAAGAACTACAAAGCTTATGCCTTTAGCACCTTTCCCCCAAAATCAGTGACTACACTGTGGTGAAGAGAACGAGTGCTTTTGATTGGTCAAACCAGGAGTGTTATTTCCACCTGTGAAAAGACATCTCTGTCTACCAGCAGAGTCTAACATAGACTTGACTATACTTAAATTAATCAATACTTTATTTATAATTAAATTCAAGAAAAAATAGAACTATATACAGGAAGAACTATATATACAAAGAAACAAGTCTTTACACAGCCTATCCCCCAAGATCCATCTGAGTCTGTCTGGAGAAATAGAAGTGCTCATATATAAATGGGATGATATTTTTCATGACTGAGTTCTGTCCTGCAGGCTGGGCAAGTGCTGGCAGTCTGAAGGGCAACAGGGAGGCATCAACTGCAGAGACATGACCACATGGGGTTGACGCAATCAGTTGTTCACCTTGCGCAGTCTGAAAGAAAGAAAACCACAATATGTATTGGGAGGAAAGAATATGAGTTTGCTGCTCTGTTGGCACCAGACAAATAGGACTTGTAGTATCTGGAATCAGCAGATTACTGCTAGAATAATGAGGGACCCACAGATCGTCCAGTGCCATCTTGGCAGGGGTTTCTCTCTCTGTGCACAGCACCAAAAAGTGACTTGTGGAGCTTCACAGCAAGGTCTGTGCTTCAAGCTGCCTGTAGCATCCCACATAAGACAACTGAGTTGAGCAACTGCCCCTCTGCCCCAATCCCCTCCCACAAAACAGAAAGGACGACAACATATGGATCTTTACCCAGGAGTAGCAATCCATGCAAATCCCATGGAAGACAGTACCAGAGGGCCTCGTATTACAGAGAACAGAACTAGAAGGAACATTCAGCCACTAATTTCACCATGCATCAAGGGTTATGGATATATAAAAGGTCAGAAATTAAAGCATCCCCTATTCTCATTTAGCAACATCCCAGCCCAGTAACACACTCGTTGCAAGAACTTTTATGTACTGCAAGCATTTCAGCATATCTCAAGCCATATTGCAAAAAACATTCAATAATGATTTCATGAACAGAAAGGAAAAGCCCAAAAACTTGGCAAAAACCTGTTTCTACAGTATATCAGAAATCAGAATTTAGAGAGACAATTTATATCTCACATACCCATCATTATCTCCTTGTTCCTCTTCATCATCACTAATCAGTAGCACTACTGGAAACAAGTGGGTGCTGGTGGCTCTGCTCCGACTGTGGCAACGAGGTAGAAACAGAATCGGCTTAGCAACCACCTGAACACCCCCTCCCTGCTCCCCCATTTCTGTTCCCTAATTGGATTTCGGCTGAAGGTGTTTGTTTCCCTCTTTCTCCTCCAAACAGGCAAATTCAGCTGTGATAGCCACAAACACTTTGTGTAAGATGAACAACTGCTGCAGAAAGGCAACCACAGGAACTGGGAGTAAAGAATTACAGTTTGTTGCTCTGTTGGCACCAGGCAAACAGCACTTGAAGTATCTGCAAATTGTCAGTCACTGCTGGAACTATAAGGAACTATAAGATCTGCCAGTGTCATCTTGGCAAGGATTTCCCCCTCAATGTACACCACCAAGAAGTGACATGGAGGGTCATGCTAATTGGAGCATCAAAGCAAGGTCTGTGCTTCAAGTTAACAAACTCCCAGTCACCAGAGCCCTCGGAGCAGGACTCCCCATGGCTTGGTAACATTCCATGCCCAGGTAGCAGGAGTGCACTTTGCACCCTCATAGAGTTCCAGAATGCCTTGCCTTGGAAGGCACCTTGAAGATCACCTAGTTCCAACCCTGCCATGGGCAGGGATGCCACCGGCTGGATCAGGGTGCTCAGGGCCCTGTCCACCTTGGCCTGGAATGGGGCCTTCCAAGGATGGGGCATCCACAGCTTCTCTGGGCAGCCTGTTCCAGTGTTTCACCACCCTCACAGTTCTTCCTAACACCCGACCCAAATCTCCCCTCTTCCAGTTGAAACCTGTTCCCCTTTCTCCTATGACTCTCTGACTCCTTTAGACACTGGAAGGTTGCAGAGGCCTCCCCAGAGCCTGCTCCTCTCCAGGCTGGACAGCCCTGGCTCTCCCAGCCTGGCTGCAGAGGAGAGCTGCTCCAGCCCTCTGAGCATCTCTGCGGCCTCCTCCAGCCCCGCTCTAACAGGCACATCCTGCCTGGATGCAGCACTCCAGATGGGGCCTTCCGAGGGCAGATCAGAAGGAAACATTCACCTCCCTCCACCTTCAGCCTGAGTAACACTGTAGCCTTTCCATGACTAAGGAAACCCAACCAAACACCCCCTAAAAAAAGAAATTCAAACCCTTCCTTAGCCTTCCTCCTTCATGTTTATTAGTCTGTTGCTGCTTTTACCCTAGTAAAAGCAAGACTGCTTTTACCCTAGTAAACAGCAATTAAAACTAAATCAATTTTTTTTTAAACTGTTGAAAATCCAACAATTAAGATCCTCATTTCAAGTCTCTGAGATCTTGATGTTTTCAGGTGTTCAACTATTCCTCTACCAGCATTTCACAACAGAGCTGGGAGGACGTTTGCTCTGCTCTTGGGGACAGCACCTTCCTACCAAGGCCCTGCTCTGCTATGAAAGGTGAGACAACAAAAAAAGTAAAATTAAAACTCTGCTTGCCTTCCAGCCAGTCTGCCACTGGACCTGCATTCAGAGGGATCAGCTGGAGCTCCTGAGAGAGGCAGTGACCCTGTCTCAGCCCTGCTGGATGCAGGAATGCTCCTCAGCCCCTGGTCCCACGGGTGTTCTCAGGTGTGGGGAGGATGGTGAAAATTTATCTAACGCTGTGGATAGTGCAAGAATATTTTTCAGCTCATGCTCTACATGAGGAGGATCATTTCTTACAAAAATTTCTGTTATGATAACTCTTACTTTTAGGTAATTGGAAACATGCTGAGAGTTTAAGAATGGGTAAGGATGACTTTCCCATTTTCCTGAACTCTGTGTCTGGGAACTGAAACAAAGGTTTCTGTCATTGTATTTGCATACTTCATTTCTCATATTCAGTGCTTTGAAATTGGTACGAGGTAATTAATTATTCAAATATTAAATATTTTTTAGGAATTAATTTAGCATCTTAGCATTTTTATATCAAGCCTTACATCTCCTTTAGGACTTTTGTAATCTAAAATTCTGCCCTTTGGACACAACATTTTTGGAAAGCAAAAGCATTCAAGCTGAGATGAAGCACAAGTGGATTTACTGGACTACGAAACATCCCACATGTTAAAACAAGGAGCCTGTCCACTCATGCTCCAGGTACAGCTGAGGTTGGTTGAGTGGACTCAGCACCACTTGTGTTTTGGGGTGGGACTGGAAGGCTTTTAGCAGGAATGTGTCCTCAGGGGTAAGGGAAGAGGGAACACTGAGGAAAAGGAGGGGCACCTTTTAGTAAGTCAAACATTTGAAGGCTATTGGGCTTGATCTCCCTCATCACTGCTAGACAATCACAGCAGGGGGCTGAGAGACCTTTATGGTAAGGCCCAACACTTTTTAATTAAACCTGCTATTGAAAATATTCATCACTCAGTTGTGGGAGGGAGAGAAACCTCCTGCCCATTCTCTGCAAATGCCAGGGAAGCTGTTAAGGCCACATACCTGTTTTATCTCCCCCCATGCGGGTAGTTTTGAAGCAAGGTGCAATACCTCTGAAACAACCCCTGCCTTTCCATCACAGGAAGGAAGAAGTTTATCAACTTCCAGAAAGAAAAGGATAATTATAAGAGATGCTGATTTTGAGCTGTGGGTAGACAAACAACTGCACTCCACAAGGTGGCAGAGGTCCAGTAACCAGCCCGGTCCTTCAGCCCCATCACCATGGCCATGGTTGACCTCAGGGCTCCTGGCCACAGGGCACCCAAGCGAAAGAGGTTCTGATTGTCCTCATGGGCTGCCGGGGACTTGTGGCTGGTTATTGATGGGGGTGTGAGACACCCAGCTCTCCACACGGCTCAGCACAGGAACAGAGTTGCACTCCCCAGAGCAACCCTGCAGACCAGTCCCTCTAAATCCACCATGGGGAAATGTCCCTCTACATGCACACAGAAATAGGAAAGGATTACTAAAAGGATTATCAAAAGAAGCCCTAACAAGATGTTATTATTGACAAATAATAATTTGTACTAGTCTCACTGAGGATTGCATTTCACTTCAAGTGTCAATATGTGCCTTTGCTTGACTATAGCAATGGCTGTGACTTCAGAATATGTTTCCCAAAATCTTCATAAGGAAGTGCTGGAGGGTGGTCTGTTCAGAGTAAGTAAAAACATTTCTGACCTCCCCTGATGGTAGTCAGTAGTGAGTGGCTTGTTCTGCAGAACTAAAACCCAGGTAGGTTTCTTTTTGCTGGGGCTGCTTTGCACCTTCCTTAATACCTTCCTAAGTACTTCTCTTGGCAAAGGATGGAGGCTTTGCAGCATCTTCCATCCTCCAAAAACCTGGATATGCTTGGGCCTCCTCCAGTTGCCCAGGCTTGGCTGCCAGCTGAGGAGTAGGAAGGCTTAGCACTGGAAGGAGTGGTTTGCTGGGGGTCTGGGTGGTATTTCAGTACATCTCAGTCCCTGGTCCTTGGCACAGGATGATGATGGGTCTCACTGAGTAGCTACAGCCTGTCAGGTGAAAATTGCTCTTGTCCTATAGCCGTGTTCCTTCGCTTTTGAGAAGCGCTGCTTCCAGCTGCTCCCTCAGGTAGTGTTAATACTTGGAGTCTGTGTTTTCTAAGTGAAAATGAGTAACATTATTCCCAAGGGGAAAAAATGGAAGTGAAAAGGCATCACGTTCGCACGGCATGACACATGCCTGTGATGGGGGCAGGGACAGCAGCTTACCAAGGTTCAGGAAGGCTCACTCCTGTTCTGCTCTGCAGGTTTCATGTCCAGAAAAACACATTTCAGGCCTGAAATACTGCAAGTGAAACAGAAACCAAGGGAAGTTGCAACTTCTGATCAGCTTTTTAGAGGCTAATATTGGGATAATGTTAACTCCTCTTTTTTTATATTTTTAATTGACCTGATGGTTTATTATAAAACTATCCTCAATACCCTTACCTATTTCAAAAATACAGGTATTTTCTTAAATTCACTTTGAGGAGAAGACTGCAGAGCAGGATATTTCATTCAATTTTTCATTAAATAAAAGCTATAAGCAAAGAGAAAATTATTTTGGTTTCAGTTTTATTCTTTGTGTAGAATCTTAATATATTAATGTAGAAAGTTTAATATCTTTTTATGATAATTGTAATAAGCTTAAACTTCCTAAGCATAAGCTACTGAACTGAAACCATGACAGCCAGGTTAGTTTAAGTGCAAGTCTGAGCATGGAAAGTTCAGAGGTTGTCTTTATTTTATTAGAGGCATGTAAGTAATACCAGACATACAGAGAGGTAAATGTATGATACCTAGGTTTTCCTTTTGTTAGAAAAGAATGGTAATAAAATCACGGGAACTTAGACTGAGACTGTACTTCAGGAATTTGTTATGTCAGGAAAATGCTCCCAGGCAAAAACACTGAAAATAGTATCTGGCTTAAAGGAAAATGTGTTTTTCTTTGTGCTGACAACTGAGCACTAAGACTGAAAACAACTTCAACTGTTCAGTTACTTTTTGCTAATCAATGCTTTTCTAGCTCAGTACTTTTTTCAAATTATATATATATTCATTGAAAGGGTAAATTACTAACGCTAAATCAAAATCTTAAAGAAAATGGCCGCAGCTGGTGTCTAGCCAAACTACCATCTATTTAAACCCATTATAAAATCAGCTGTATGCCACTTCAGTGCAGGTTACTTAAAGCTCAAATTGACTTGACCTAAAGGGTTTTTTAATTGTTCTTTTCAATGAGAATACCTGGCACATCATGTCACATAGGAATACAGCTATTCAAAACAACATTTCTGCTTATTGTCATTGCATCCACCAGGTAGCTAAAAGTCAAGCAATAATGAGGAATGGAAAACATCAGTCTAAAATTTATGGCCATCCTATGAATAAATCATTTTGTATGTGTCTTCCTAAGAATGATAATTGAGTAATTTTGACAACTTGTAATTTATCTACTAGGAATGTCCCTTGTTTATTACTAACCCTGCCTAAATATGGCAACAGGACTAAGAAAACAGATCATTAACACACTAAAGACAAAAATGAAAAACCAAAAATAAAGATATATGTACACACAAACAACTCACTTTGACAGAGGAGCTCAGTTCAGTTTGGTCATCTGTTTCCTGTTATAAGCTTACTTTTTCCAGCATTACAGGCTACGAAGGTAACATAGAAGAAGACTGTCAAAATGATTGAAAATTATGACTGTGCTAGGACAACATTTTGTTCATCCTATAGCTGGTCCCAGTGGGGCCAGACACAAAACAAATACAAACAGTATTTAGGTATGCACCTTGGACATCAAACTAGCTCCTTGCATAACAAGCAGCTAGAAGAACAACAGCTGTTCACTCACCAGGATCACACTGTCTAGTCACCTTGTTTGGGGAAGTCTAGGCTCTATTAATTCTTTACCATTTATGTATACAGAAACATAGAGCAAAGTAACATACCTAAAAATTGTGTTCACATTTCTAGAGAAAAGTACATGGCACAGAGTAGCAATTTAATCTGTGGTAAATTAGGTATTATCAGTTGTTGCAATTATCTTCCGCTTTTTTATGCTTTTTTTCATCTGCTCTTCTTCAGTTTTCAATAAACATCATTTCATCTCAAGTATCATTCTTTGTTATTCATACTAATATAGCTCCATCCTTAGATATAAGGAGGATTCTGTTCTGAGAAGAAAAGAAACCAGAGCCCATTGATGCCAATAGCAACAAGGTCACAAAGCAGTATTACAAATGGAATGCAGTCTCACTAATCCTGTAAGCCATCAAGATGACAGATACTGTGAGATGCCATCAAAACATTCCCAATCTCTAGGGGAAAAAATGTCACAAACTCACCTTCTATAGTTTGGCTTATCCAAGAAAAATGGGATGTCATGATGCATATAAACACAGCTCTACTTTTACTCCCTTGCTTCTATAAACCTTTTTCTCCTGTGAAGCCTACTTCTATGTGGAGCAGCAGATATAAAATAATTTACTTAAGTCACAAATAAGAAACACCTGTGGGAAACTGTCATCAACAAGAAAACAGGTACTTTAAAAAAATGGGGGAAAAAATCCACCACATGAAACAGAGATTGGTATTCGGATTCTTGTGTGACTAATTATTTTTCTTGACCATCCAAAGCACCTAATAACCTCTTAGACTATTTGTTCAAATAAGGCTCCTTTTCCAACTCTGTTTCTAAGAAATGCTGAAATTTTTATCCTTTATTCAGTAGCACACATGCTCCCTGTGGCACATCCCACACTCCTTCTTTTCAAGGAGATCCAAAAACTATAATAGACTATTGATACAGGTATTGTAGAAACTGTGAAGCATGTAACAGCACGGATCTTTGCTCTACTGAAAGCCATTTATTACTGCATAACATCAGATCATGCCAAATATTCAACATCACCATAATTAAAACATTGAGATTGCTACCCATTGCCTGGAGCAGAGCAGTATGAAAATCCTTACTGTACACAGCATCAAAGTTTCCAACAGGTATCTCACCTTGATGAGGTCTTCCTTCAGCACAAAAAGGTCATGAAGAAACATTTTCTCACTCCAGAAAAGTAATTTAACATGTTCAGATTGACACACCACTATCTCAGAAAGCAAATTCTCTTTGGGCAAGTATGAGAGAAAACTCTGGAGATAATTGGTATCACCATGTATTTTATACCTGCCATTTATACCATTGCCATACCAACCTCCAGTTACTCCTGTAACTATAAAGAGTTGCAGAACTCAGGCTAAAGGTAGGAATTCACTCCTTCTTGCTCACTTCTGTGCTTCTAAATAAGCAGGCAGCGTCCTTCAGTTTTTCACATGAAAAAAACCCCAAGCATTTAGATCTTTTAGATATCTAAGTATCTATGAAGAATAAAATATTTCAGGATTCTTTTTTCCCTCTAATATCTATTGTTTGTAATTCAGCTTGCCACAGGCACTGAAGCTACATTCACAGTTTTCAAACTTACGATTATTTAAATTAAAACATGGCAGAATTCATAAATATGTAAAACCCTTAAACATGCAGCAAAAATTTCATTAGGAGCTATTTTCCATTGTGTTAGTATCAACAGATGATTTTAAATTAAGGTAGAAAACTGAACACAGAAGGTTTATTTTCATTTTAGAGTAACATGACTGTGACTGATCTTTTCAAATCGTTCCACAATCACAACTTTGACCAAATTTTAAACTGAATATAAAATCAATGAAGATATAGAGACGTAGGAACTATTGTTAAAAATTTCTTCTGACAGCAGAGTTTCTTACAAATAGGAAGCAATACACTTCAATTAGCAAAGGTGATAATGAAGTATGCATCTGCTGACATCATCACTAGCTCCCACTATCTGGTCAATGGATAACTAGGGGCTTGATTTCTTCAAACACAATTTCAAATACCTGCTAACAGAATTCTTGTGTAATACTTAAATCTTGTTAAAAAATGACTGGAAAGTTTGAATACATTTTTAATAAACAGAATGAGGCCCAAAGTAATCTGATGAACTTTTATTAAAAATAATCTTCCTACAGTAGTATGGAATTCTTTAGCAAAGTCAAGCCACCACCTGTTCCACATCCTTCTTCACTAACACCGTAAATCTGATCTTTTCTGTTCCTCTAGTGATCAGCACTTCTGGCTGATAACTGCTCTGCTTATAAACCCAAACGCAGTTTTGACCACAAACGCAATTTTCAGGCAGCCAAGAAACAGTTTTACTGAAAAGGAAACCACCTTCCCTTCAATGAGACCAACTTTTTTCTAAACCTTTACAGATGGATATAATTCCATGCACAGTCATTAGATCCAGAAACTTCTCAGAAGAGAACCAAAAGTTGCTTAATGACACATCGCAAGTTGATTTGTGATGCTCTGCATGCAGTTTGCTTTTTAAGACTTTTTGGGCTGCTTCCTTTTCTGAGCGCAATGCATTCAAGATGCGTGATGTCTGGTTCCCAGCTCTGCTTCTATCTGCTGGATGTCATTATGCACTGAAGATTTATGTTCTATTTCAAACCGAATGCAAGTTTCACACTCTAAGTAGGGGTGCCCACAAACATATTGTTCTTTGGAGAACAACTCTCTGGCTCCATAGATATAACTTGGACAGAGTAGTTCTGCTCTTCTGCAGCCCATGCCCGATCCAGATCCACAAGCCCCATACACTGTTTTCCTAAAAGGAGAGCAAGGGAGAGCACGGAAACTCAGAATGTAGAAACGTTATCAGAAATGCGCACTTCAATATTTAATGTTAGGAAAACACATCAGTAAGTCATCTAAAAATAAGTTCCACATCTCCTTTAAAAACCATCTTAATCTGTTTTACTTCAAATAGACACTCTTTAATAGTTCCAAATCACATCTGCGACTTGTAACCCTCATTCAGCAAAGATCTTGAGAAGATTATTAACTCTTTATATATGGAGAAAGCTTAAAAACAGTCGTGCATTTCTCAAAATGTACAGAAAAATCCATACTTTAATGTAAAAGCCACAGGAGGAAGAAAAATGCCTCGTTTATCCCTTAGCTCTCTGAATTTCCAAACTTCTACTCCCTTTATGACCATAATTGTTTTCCTCCTGTACTTTCATCTAAAATCTGAAAATCTCTGATTATTGAACTTCAACAAAAGACTACAATACAAAAAAGTTATCCAGTCTAATTGATTTGAGACATATTAATTTAACTACTTGTAAACAAGAATACTACATTGGTAATGCAAATTAAGCTTATCTCAGATTTATCTGTAGAAAAACAGGAAGGATAAATGGAGTTTTTCAGCTTAAACATTTGTATTACGATACAGCCATGCCAAGATGATGGGAGCATTTGTCTTTACTTATTTACTCATTATAATTGATTATGATGTTCTGAAATACCGAATTGACTTGTCAGATTGTATTTCAGCAGTTTGAAACGCTATTGCAAGAAAGATTTAACACTTCCCTGAAACATTTTATGACTAATAGTCATACAGTCTCAAGTCCTGAACAGGGTACAATCCTCCGTCGGTCTCAAAGCCAGTGATCTTACCTCTTTTCCTGCTCCTGACAAAACTGTATAGTTAAATATATTTGGGGTCTGAGACCAAGGGAAGAAACAGGAGCACATCATGTTTACCATCAGGATATGAGTCTGGCATATTCCTCTGGAGCTCCTCTGGAACCGCTTACCTCTTCCCTGAATGTATACAGAGCTTTTGCACCTGCACCATTATAAGCCCTGTTATGCACCCTGGTTAGGTGCCTGCAGAAGTTTTGGTGGGTGGCACAAACACTCCTCAGAATCCTTGTATTTCAGAACAGCTGGTGCACATCACACTTTAATACAGTACTCAATCCAATCTATTCTGTCCTTCCACAGTGAGCTGATGGCCAGAACTATCTTCTTCTCAGCTGAATTCCTCAGTTACAAAATAATTTCACTACTTTGAATTCACCAACATTATGACATTTGGACTCTGTTCTGTTGGTGGCTTGGAATTTGAGAGGGGTAGTAATTGGGTAGGAGACAATTTAGAGACAAAATATTAAGGGTGGGCCTGAAAAAGAACTTTGCAACTCAGTTCTGTATGGATCTATACATTGCAGGGAGAAATTAGCAGTTTATAAACCCAGGACACAACTCTGCAAATTACTGTTTGTGGCACTATTCTTCCCACATTTGTGGCTTCATAGAAAATCACCTTCTGTGGCTGGTTGAACAAAATGGCATGTACACATTCCTGTCACTGACAGCAACATTATTCCATGTGTACACACTAAAGGGCAGCTGGGATTGTCACAACTGGGGCCTGGTTCCCTGGGTGCTCTCAGTAAGACTGTGTGAAATGCATGGAGCAGTTCTGTGTAAGCAGGTGGGCTGTAGCAATGTCCACAAAGCCATTTAACCATTCAGTCTGCACTGCTGCATATAGTGTGTAAAAGTCACATGTGCAGTGAAAATGATACACAGAACTTCGTTCATTTAAAAGGGAACTGCTGTGTGCAGCAGAACTGGGTTCAACTGCATATTTTTACCTTCACAGATACTATAGAAATCAGTGATAACTCCTTCAATAAATGTGTTGTTTCAGCGATGACAGTCACAGACAAATGCTGTATTTTAACTCACAGGTAATGAAAGCAAATGATTTGTCACTTATCTGAAGCTACAGAAATTCAGTGGTAATTGCTAAAATGTAGTTTACAATATAATCCTAAAATATTAAAAAAGTAGCAGAATAAGTGATTTTTGCCACCATTTACATGAGAAGAAAAAGCCTCCACCTGTTCAGGAATACTCTCATTAACTGAAATACACAGTTTTCTCAATACCTGCTCATGCACTTACCAAAAACATTGTCACCATGACTGTAACACTGATTGCATGCAATTGTTTGCAAGGAAAACGTAAAAATACTGCTAAACAAGACTCCCACAAAATCAGTTTCAAAGCTGAAGCAGAACAGGGAAATGGGAACCATCTTCAATGAAACAGACTAACATTACAGGGAACTTTAAGAAAAAGTAACATTCTTGAAAACAGAAAAAGCAATGATGTAGGGGAAGAGGAGAATAAGATTTATATTTATGGGTTTTTGGCAGAACAAAACACGTGAAAGTTACATTTGTGGAAAAAAACCCTGCAGTTTCAGACATGGTCAACAGATAAAAATTACGATCTTTCAAAAAACAAATTTGGGTCCTATTTCAATTTTCAGTCCACAGTGTGGGGTGCTACACTGGTAACTGAACACTGTCCTTTTTAATTTCTTTTTTTCAAATACTGTGATGATAACAAAAGAAGCTGCAAAATTTCT